AGATGGTTCGTCGATGGCTGTGATTGCTTTCCATGATCTTACTGTGGTGGAGGTGGACTCATCTTCAAATTCATCTTTCAGTAATGAAGAGCGGGATGCAACACTGATGATGGAGGATCTGTACTTTGGCTTTGGTCTTGATGGACCAGGTTCATCCTCAAACCCTCCTCCTCTTGCTTTCTAATGAATTTGTTATCTTGGAATGTAAGGGGTTTAGGTCACCTTAGTAGGAAAATGGATGTTTTTTTCTTGGTTTCTAAGTATAAACTGATAATTTCTAAGCACAAAAGTGACATCTCTACTTTTTATATTTTTTTTCATATCTCTACATTGTTTCCATAGAGAGTGAGAGAGAGATTGTTTTCATATTTTAATTTGAGGAGAGAGGAAATATTCACAACATAGAGATAACGAGAGATTTTAAGAGAGATTTTGAGAATGAGAGAGAGTACGTGCAAGAGAGAGAATGAGAGATTTTAGGAGAGGAGAGTAGATAAAGAGAGAATATCCTAATACGAAATTTTGATAAAAAGTGTACATGAAAGAGAAAGAGAATGTGAGATTTTAGGAGATATTTTGAGAAGTAGAGATAGTAGGTGAAAGAGAGAGAGAGTGATAGGCTTTAGGAGAGAATGAGAGATATACAAATATATTTTATATGATAACCAAATTTGAGAGAGAGAGTATACACAAGAGATGAGAGATGAGAGATGAGAGAGAGTAGGCAAAAGAAAGAGGAGAGAGAGTGAGTACGCACAAAAGATAGATCTACACACTTATTTTATAAGAATTTATTTTAGGACACGATTTCTATGCGGCTAGCCAGCATATGGTAGAAATGTGGACTGGGCAATAAATATATTTTTTAAATATAATTTGGTCCTAATTTTTAGAGAATACACAATCTTTAACAAGGAGATCATGAATAAAAAAAATAAAAAAATGAAAGGTAGAAATAATAATTATATTAAAAAAACATTTGGACCGTTAGTTACAATTGTTTTTAGATGGACCACCTATTTGCATCCATCTTTAAGATGGATGCATTATACCTCTGGACGACATATTGTAGAAATGCGATCTAGCCCACAAGAAACAATTTTCCTTTATTTTATAAGATAACTAAATTTGAGAGAGAGATATAGAAGATCTCAACATTGTCTATAGTACACCAAGAGAGAGAGAGATTTCTTGATTTTCATGTCAATGCTTATCTCAATATTATTTTCATATCTTAATTTGAGAGAGAAAGATCAACATTGTTTTCGTATTTTAGTGAGAGATTTTCATATCCATCCGTATCTCAACATTGTTTACAAATCTTAATCACAAAGAGACAGTATGGACAAGCGAGAAATATTTTCATATCCATCTTTCTTTTAATATTATTTTATTTTTTCAAACCTCTTAAGGTTGGTACCAATTAGATCTTACAATAGATTTTCATATCCATGTTTATCTTAATATTGTTTCTCTTATTTTTTCAAACCTCCTAAGGTTGATACCAATTAGATCTTACAATTTTATTTTTTTATTTGAGGCTGTATGGAGAGAGAGAGGACGTGAGAGAGAGGGAGGCAAAGACATGAGAAAGAGAGAGGAGGGGGACGTTGTGAGAGAAGGGTAAAGAAGAAACCACCTAATCACAAGAGAGAGTTAATGAGATGCAATATGGAGAGAGAGAGAGTAGAGTAGAGTAGAGAAAAGAGATAGAGAGAGAGAGAGGAGGGAGGGTAGGGATTGAGAAAGAAGGGTGAGGGGAGGTTGTGAGAGAGTGGGGTAGAGAAGAGAGAGAGAAGGAGGGGTGTGAGAGGGGTAAAAGAGAGAGGTGGGGGGAGGGGGAGGGGAGGGGGAGAGAGAGAGAGAGAGAGAGAGAGAGAGAGAGAGAGAGAGAGAGAGAGGCGTGAGAGAGAGGGCAAATGAGGGTGGGGAGGGAACAGAGAGAGGAGCTATAGAGAGGTAGAGATCGATTTGAAAATTTTTTTTTTTTCTGAAGTCTTCACATTCTCTTAATTTGCTTTTACCTTTTTATGTATTTTAATAATAATATCTTATAATTATTTAATAAGATATTCTATGTTAAAGTCTATTAATTTGATGTATCAATTCTTGACCAAATTTATTGATGCATTGTTTTTGTACGAGTGTTTTCACTCTTATGTAACGTGTGACAAAATTCAAATTCACTCTGGTGCGTTGTTTTATAATTCTTTTGTTTGTTTTTTTTGTTATTCATCCTAAAGTTCACATCAATCTAATTCTATCCCCTCATAATATTAATTTTTTTTGTCATAAAATAACAAGCACAACAAAGTTTAGATTCACTTTGAGATATTGGTTTATAGTTTTTTTTATTTGCTTTTTATGCTTTCATTTTGGAAGTTCACATAAATCTAATTGTGTCTCCTCCTAGCATTGTATTTCTTACTTTTGAAGTAATTGTTCATAATGTCATAATCAACTTTACGTGATCCAATATATCATAATCAACTTTCAGAGGCATTTTGGTCATTTTATTTATTGAGAATATTTTTTTAAATATTTTTTTACAGATGCGAGTTTAAGAGAGAAGTGGATGCCCAAATTCGGTGTCAAAAGTTTTTGTAGAAAAAAATAAAAATACAATTGTGAAGAGGCATGACATTGTGATTGGGGTAATCTCAGCCGTCCATTCAAAATGGATATTTTGATAGGGGCTAGTATATAAGTTTTTTAAAGTAGGGGAAGTATAAAATGCTTGCTCATCTATAATATAAGTGTAGGTTTTTTTTTGAATTCAGAATGAATACATTCGAGAACTTAGGGGTGGCTCCAATAAGTAATAACATGAGAGAAAGTAGACTTAGGTAGGTGGACCACATGTAGCAGAAACCTAATACAATACTGGTTACAATGGCCAACTTAGTTCAAGTGGAACCCTCTAAAAATGTAAGGCTAGTCCTAAAAAGGCATGGATGGAAGTTGTTAGAAGAGATATGGGGACTTATGATTTGAATGAGGGTATGTTCTATGAGCAGTATGGCTACAACATAATTCATTCATGTAGCTGACGCGGAATAATTGGGATAAGGCTCGGAAGGTCATGATGCCATAAAATGACAAAAATATCCATAATTTTTTTTCAAATAATTTGATTACTTTATTTTTATTTAATTATTTTAATATATATATATATATATATATATATATAATGGTGAAAAGTATGGACACAAAATTTAAACTGTCCTATATATAGAAAAAGGAAAAAAATTAAAATACTTGATGTGTTCTTAAAAAGTGGGATATGAACATA